TCAAGTACACATGCATTCGGGACCAAAAAAAGGTCAACATCTGAAACCAAAATATCGGTGGGTTTCTTTTCCATGGATATAAATGAATGCAAAGCCTTCTTTAACGCTCTTGGGAAATGAGCTGAGAAGACTAATTGATTAAACTCCTGCCAGGCGGGTCCGTATATCAGTGGGCTGGTCTGGTGTTGCTGATTAATTGCCTCTCTGTAACGGCGCCGCAGATAACAAGAGCTTGTTAAGTGACTCTTATGGCCAATCTATTAAACACAACTGTCAGTAGATGAGGTCCTTGAGATTTCCCAAGCGGCCACACTGAGTTTTATATATTATTAATCTTCAAGTAATGAAAAGAGATTTCTGAGAAGTCCTGTGCTGTCATTTGTTCTTCGTTCTAAAAACTAACCCACTGCATTTGGACCCAAATGGAATACAACTTCCCCTGACAGAATGTGCCTTGTGTCAGTTCTTATGTCTTGCACCCGTACTTTATAAAAATTTGAGGTGATACACATCGGAGCTCTGCCACCCCCTTTACCCTAAACCCCCCCTCCAAAAAAAAAAAAAACAATCTTGGGAAAGAATTTCAACTGGGTGACATTCACCGCACTTGGAGGAAAAGGCAGTGTGTCAAATGTCACAAACTAGTTTTTTTCTGATGTTCTTGTAATAAAAACAAGGAATGGAAAAACTGAACGAATCAGTTTTGATACGAGAAACAGATTTCGATTTAACGGATGACAACTTACAGAAACATTTCTACAGTGTACTGATTTTTCATCCCTCAATATTTAACGGAGATGCCACTCATTACTACTAACGTAGGGTAACTCATTTATTCGCCACTGCATGAAATTCATGGGTATGGCACATCTGAATAACTGCCACAACCCTCACGTAGTAATGCGTTTGGGGAGCTGTTGTTGAGAGGAAAATGACCGAGACTTACCTCATGACTGTCTTGAACTGCACCTGGTCCATTCCACACTCGGGGTCAGACAGCCGGCTGATCATGTCCGGCATCACATTGTAGATGGCGTTGCCCTTCAAAAACCAACAAATTGGTCATGTTTAAAAATACAAGCTGGTTATAGGGTCCAATAGAAAGATATCGAAGTACCACATGGAAAATAATGGGCTCCCCAGATCGGCCACCATTGCCCTGAAGCATTTGGTTATTGTGACCCTACATCACACATTTTAAGGTAGACAGCAAAACTTCTTTTGACACAAAACAACTTGAGGAATTCTTTACCAGACAGCATAACGGTCACCAACCGTGACATGGTTGCCGTTACTGCGCCGATCTAGCAGTGGGCGCTGACTCCATGATTTTTTGCCATGAATTTTGTCAATGGTTTGACGGCTTGCCTACTACCCCAAAGACAATGCGCGACGTCGCAGTCTCTAGCCAATGACAACGACGGAGGTATGCCAGCTCACATGGGTCAGTGATACACGTAGCTTCCTTCGGACAATTACAGGTCCTCAACTTCGGAATGAACTACCTTTTAATATTCCCTCTTATCCCTTCAGTCTCCGAGTTCAAAGCTGCCTTGAAAACTCACTTCTTTGTGAACTGCTAAATTGAATTTCTTGTCAGTTAATTTGTTTCTTTTCCCAATTGTACTACACCATGAGCGTCTCCTGAGGCAGAAAGCGGCACGTTGTAAA